AAAGAAAGAAAGAAAGAAAGAAAGAAAGAAAGAAAGAAAGAAAGAAAAAGAAAGGGAGGAAAGAAGGAAGGAAAGAAGGAAGGAAGGAAGGGAGAGAGAAGGGGAGGGAGGAAGGAAGGAAGGAGGGAAGGAAGGAAGAAAAGAAGGGGAAAAAAGTCCCTGCCGTCCAGGAGCTTAAATTCTAATGAGAAAGTTAACTTGTACATAAACAGACACATATCGACTAGATGGAAGATAACTTTGAAGAGAAGGCATTAGCAATTGGTGGGACCAGAAAAAGCCTTCTGGAAGACATGGTGCCAAAGCTGAATTTTGAGAGATGCTAGAAATTCTTCAGGAAGGGTAGAAGGTGAGGAGGGAGAATGTTCCAAGCATGGAAGTTATCCCATACAAAGGCACAGAATCAGGAATGGAGCATCACGCATGAAAAACAGAAAGCAAACCAATATGGCTAAACCATGAAGGGAGGAATATGTAAACAGACTGAGAATATAGGAAGGGTCCAGGTGGTAAAGAGCCACATGGGCAGAATTTGTGAATTAAATTACTTTGCATGTGCTCAGTCCATGGTCAGTCTATGTTACAACCACACTGCCTGGATTCACATTTAGTCCAAATAGTGATTAAGCTCTCTTCACATTTCTCTTCAAGCATCCCAGAGCACCCCTCCCCCTCCTCCTGTGGATTAAATTATTATCTATGCAGTTGATCCCCAGTTGTGATGTCTCTTCTAAGCTCTCTAGTGCCATATCAACACCTATTATTGGGCATTTTAAATTGGATGTCCTGTAGGAATCTCAGACAAAATACATTATCCTTTACCTCAAATCCTCACTTCTGAACTTTCTTTTTTGACTGTCCAGGGCACCAACATCCTTCCAGTGAGCCAGGTTAATAAACTTCGTGTCATCCTTGACCCCTCACTCTCACTCACTACATAAATCCAATCACTTGCTAGATCTTCTTTGCTCTCTCCACAACAATATTGGAAACATTCCCTTCTCTTTTCTCACAAAACTATCACTGTACTTTAGGTTCTCATTATCTATTGCCTAGATTATTGCAATTGCCTCCTAATCAGTTTCTCTGCCCAAGTCTCTCCTCACTACCATCCATCCTCCAAACTGCTGCCAAAATAATTTATTTAAAGGCAGGTCTAAACATTTCAACCCCATATCCAATAAATTCTAGTGGCAACTTGGACCTTTCCTATCTTTCCTATCCTCTTACATATTATTCTCTTCCACATGCTCTACAGTCTAGCCATACTGTCCTGATTCCTGTACCTCATACATAATGTCCCATATCCATCTCAGTACCTTTGTTCTGGATAGCTCCAGTGTCTGAATGCTCTGCCTCCTGCATCTCTCAATGCTCAGCTCTAGCAGCACCTCTTCCATTAAGGCTTTTTCTGCCCCTCTCCCCAGTTGCTAGTGACTCACTCATCTCTATGATTACTTTCCATCTACTCTATATGTATCTTGTAATATACCTATTTATGAACAACTTGCCTTCTGTATCGGCAAGTTTTCTTTCTCTTTTCTTTTTTTAAAAAATTTCTCCAGTTCTTTACACAGTGCCTAACACATGAATATCATCCCTTATTAAATGCTTGGGGATTAATTGATTGATTGTTGCTGACTTGACACCCTAAGGAAAAGGGTACTGGCAACATCAGCTTTAGCTAGAGTTCTGTAGGTTAATAGGATTGAAAGGACAATGGACTGTGACTGAATGTATACAATGTCCTCAGACACTTACTAGCTTTGTGATCCTGGGAAAGTCATTTAACCTCTGTTTGCCTCAGTTTCCTCAACTGTAAAATAAAGATAATAATAGCATCTTCTTCAAAAGGTTTTTGTGAAGATCAAATAAGATAATATTTGTAAAACAGTTTAGCACAGTACCTGGCACAGTAGGTACTATATAAATGCTTATTCCTCCACTCACCACCCAGCCAACTACATTCCATTTCTAGGGGACTCAGTTTGGTATGTACAGAAAATCCATGTTCTATCCTTTCATGCTAGAGCCATGTCAGTTCAATAAAATATTCCAATCAATCCAGGCTTTGTTATTCAGTTGTTATTTTTCAGTCATGTCTGACTCTTTGTGACCCCATTTGGGGTATTCTTGGAGTGGTTTACTATTTCCTTCTCCAGCTCCTTTTACAGATGAGGAAATTGAGGAAAAGAGGGTTAAGTGACTTACCCAGGGTTACACAGCTAGTAAGTATCTAATGCCAGATTTGAATTCACAAAGATAAGTCTTCCTGACTCCAGGCCCAGGACTCTGCTGTGCCACCTGCCTTCCCTGGATTCCTCTAAGTTACTCCAAAAAATCTGGAAGACTATGTAGTAGGGAGGGTGAGGAAAATGGTGGCAAGGAAATAGCACAAAGCCTTTTGTAAGGTGAAAATAGTACATACACGTGAATTGTTATTATCCATCCTTATCATATTACAATAAGGGAGAAATAGGGTACGTATGCATGCATGTCTATAAGAGCATTCAAATTAAGAGATTGGTGAAATGTGAGTGGCTAGCTGGGCCTTGTTCTTATTTTCTAAACCAAGCAGAACTAAAAACTGACCTACATACCAAGCATTTATCTTCCCTATTGGCATGCATTAAAAATAAGATCGTTGCCTGAGAGCATCTGGGTACCCAACAAAAATGAAAAAGACAGTACAAATTCAGTCTATCCCCAGATTTCCTGTAGACAGTCAGGCAGAGTTCCCTAGGAGATTCCTAGGCAAAAACATCATGTTCTCCATGACAACCTGTCCTATTAAGAGAAATAATACTGATGGCTTTCCCTCTTTTAAAGAGGAAAGGATATTTAAAATAGCTCATGCTCCTACTAAAGAAGTCTTATCTGATAAACTGTCACTTATGAAAAGAATCTTGGGGGTTGAGATGAGGAAGGGGAGCATTCCAGGCATAGGAGATAACCAGTGAAAATGCCCAGAGCTGAGAGAAGGAATATCTTGTTCATGGAAAATCAAGGAGACCAGCAAGGAATACATGTTGGGGAGTAAGGTGTCAGAAGACTGGAAAAAGGGAGATGGTGTTAGGGAGCCATTGGAATTTATTGAGTATAAGAGTGACATGGTTGGAGATGCTTCAGGAAATTCACTTTGGAAACAGAATGGAGGATGAATTAGACTCATGTCAGCCAGATTAACCAGCAGGGCATTACAATAGTCCAGGCATGAAGTGATGAGGATCTACAACAAAGTATTGGAAGTATCAGGAAAGAAATGGGCGTATTTAAGAGATGTTGCAAAGGTGAAATCAAAGGCATTGGCAACAGATTGTATATGAGATGTGAAACAAAGTAAGGAGTCCAGGACGATACCTAGGTTGTGAGTATAGTGGTACCTTCAACAGTAAGGGAGAAGTTTGGAAGGGGAAAGGGTTTAGGAGAAAAGATAATGAGCTCATTGTTGGATATGGTTCATTTCAGATGTGTACTAGACATTCAACTTAATATGTCTGAGAGGCAGTTGGAGAAGTGAGATTAGGGATCAACAGAAAGGTTAAGTCTGGCTAAATAGATTTGAGCATCATCAGTATAGAGATGAAAATTAAGAGCTGATGAGATTACCAGGTGGAGTAGTATAGAGGAGTACATGGGGTGGTCAAGAGGACTAGTCATTCTGGTGTGAGGGCTTGCCAAGGTCTGCTAAGTCACCTTTGGTGTCCAACCAGTCACCCAACTCTCACCTCCAAGAAGCTGTAATTTGTCCAACAGTCACCCTGATAAAACCTTCTAAGCAGGCAGGCTAAACTGGGTTAAGGGTAGTTGACAATTTCAATGAGTTAGGAGCATATCTACCCCAAACACGTGAAGACGTTCCCCAGCAGAATGAGTGGATCAGAACAATTTGTTCCAACAACCATGAAGGCAGCCAAAGCACGTGCTGTGGAATGCTTAGAGCTTGATCAGACATTGAAGACACCAAGGTCATTGACCACATCCTGTTGTCTTGACTTTGTCCTGCCACTGAACTTAAATGACTCTGGAAGAGAGAGTGAGGCTGATGACTTTGTGCAACTCTGCCTCACTTGAATCCAAGTCAAGACATCTTCCCATGATGTCATTGATCCTTTTCAAAAATAAAGAACAAACAGCAATGTCTTACTACCTAACCTTGTTCTTTGTCCTCATAGTAATCTTCATCCTTTCCATCATTCAGTTTTTAACAAGTCCATCACCCCTACATTGGTCACATGCTCCTCTTTACCTTATCTTGACCACTGGCAAACCAGTTCAATTCTGGTTTAGAATCAGGATCCCCTGTCCATTTTTTCCATTGCCAATGGCACTCTGCCATAACCCTAACAATGCATTATCCCTCCTTTGCTCTTATTCACATGCTGTTAAATGGCATTGACAAAAATCACAAAGTTGGTCCACTACAAAAATTTATGTTATCTAATCTCAACTAGGCCATTACTGCAGCAAGTCGATTACACTATTCTTCCTCAATCAATTTTATATCCTACTGTCCACAATGAGTATTTTAAACACTCTTATCTCTCTTCCATGACATCCCTTAGCCTCACCCTTTTAGTTGAGTATCTGGCTTCATACGCACATACAAAAGAAAAAAATGAGGTTATTATATCAATGTTAAATATTATTATATCTAGTTATATATCGTTACCATGTATTTTTATATTATATTACATACGTATAAATGAGCTTCTTCTTTTTCCCTTCTCCCCATTTCACATATTTAGATATTCTCCCCCATTACCTCCTTCTCCATTCCAGTATTGGATGAAGAAGTGACCCTTCTCCTTGCCAAGACCAATCCCTCTACAAGCACCTTTGATCTCATCACCTTCTGTCTTCTCCCAAACATTACCCCGTCATCATTATCACTTTCTCTAATCTTCAATCTTTCCCTATATACTGGCTTTTTTTTCTCCTGCCTACAAAAATGCCTAAGTCTCCTCTCATACTTAAAAAACCTCCTTTTGATTAGAGCATCTACACTAGCTATTATTCCATATTTTTCCTCCTCTTCTTGGCTACCTTTCTTGAGAAAACCAGCTACACTTAGTATCTCTGTCTCTTCTCATCTCACTCTTTTGTCTTAACCCTTGGTTTCTGAACTCATCATTCGTATGAAACTTCCTCATCCAAATTCACCAATATTCTCTTAATTAACAAATCTAATAACCATTTCTCATTTTTTTTCTATCTACAACATTAAACACTGATGATCCACCTTCTCCTGGATAACATCTCTTCTCAGATTCTTATGACACTGTTCTTTTCTGGTTCTCCTCCTTCCTAATAACTGCTCTTCCTCAGAATATTTTGCTGGATCTTTATCCGTGTCATGCCCCCTAATAGTGAGTGTCTCAGAATGCTCAATCCTGGACCCTCTTCTCTTTCCTCTCCATACTATCCCACTTGGTGAACTCCGTGCCCATGGCTTCAATTATGATCTCAATGTAGAAAATTCATAAACCTATTTATTCAGCCTGTGGAAGCAAACAAAGTCCCCTTCACACCTCCTTCTGTATTTTAAAAATATTAAGAAAGCATTTTAAAATTATTCCAATCTGAAACTTTTGGACTAACCTGAAAAAAAGGAAATCAGTCATTATTTAAGCATCAATTCTACTCCTCTCTCTCCAGGAAGGATTCCTCTCTGAAATAATTAGGGTAGGGCTTGACTAAGGCAAGGTGTCCTTGATATATCCACCTAAAGTAGCTAAATGAATAAGTAGATCACACCCTGCAGAGAAGGAAAAAGCTTCTGATTACTTCACTTAATGGAAGCATTTCTTTTATTGACCTTTTATAGGTGTAAAGAATCCTTGAAGAGAATGGTCAGAGGAATTAAATGGTTTTAGGAAAATTATTTTTAAAGAGTATGCTGAAAATTAAGATTGTTTTTGCATTTGACGAAGCAAACTATTGACTGAAATGTTGCCCAGACTCTGGACCCTTGGCTGAAATATTCAAGAAGCCTATAAATTAGGACTTCAAAAGTACTTGCATTAGAGAAATGTCCAAGGGCATGAAGGGACTCTGTCAATCTTAACATTTTTCTCTAATCAGAAAATCACTTAAGTTAGAATAATTAAAATTAATAAAAATTCTTTCTGATGTACTTATGTCTACAACAGGGAGTACAGTAAAATTTTTCTTTCACAAAGCCTATTTTCTGTCATAAGCTCCAGAATTGAGCATCCTATAGGCATCTACAACTTAACATGTACAAAAGAGAATTCGTTATCTCTCCCCTAAAGGCTTACCCTCTTCCCAATTTTCCTATTACTGTCAAGAAAATTAACATCTTCTCAATCATCCTAACTCCCACTCTCATCACATCTCATCCTTTAAGTCCCAACTAAAATATCTTCAGCAGGAAGCCTTCTCTAACCTCTCTTAATTCCAGTGTTCTCCCTGTTTTAATTATTTCCTATTTATTCTGTATATAGTTTGCTATGTGTGTGTTTGTTTGCATGTTGTTTCTCTCATTAGATTGAAAGTTCCTTGAGGGCAGGAACTGTCTTTTGCTTTTTTTGTGTGTGTCCCCAGTGCTAATCAGAGTAGGCACTTAGTAAATGTTTATTGAATTAAATCACCCTACATAGTCAATCCATTGTTAAATCTTGTTGTTTCTACCTTCACAATATTTTTCCTATTTGTACCCTTCTCTCCTCTTACATAGCCACCACCATAGTTATCACCTCTCACCTGGACAAAGGCAATAAGCACCTAATGGGCCCTGCCCTGTGTCTTTTCCTACTCCAATCCATCTTCCATTCAGCTGCCAAAATGATTTTACTAAAGCTTGGTTCTAACTCTGTCAATCTCTTTCTCAGTAAATTCCATTGAGTGCTTATAACCTGCAGTATCAAACATAAAACCCTCAATTTGTCATGTAATACTCATCATAAGTTGAACCTGTCTCACCTTTCAAATTTTCTTATACTTTACTCCTTTTCACACATGCTATAATCCAGCCACAAGAGACTACTTACTGTTTCTCACAAACAACATTGCATCCTTCCTCTTTTCCTTTGCTCAAACTTTCCTCCACATCTAGAATGCACTCCCTCGCCTCTCCATCTTACCTTTTTTGGCTTCCTTCAAGGCTCTGCTCAAATCTAATTTTCTGCAGAAGCCTTTTCCTGTTTGCCCTCTCTCCACCAAACCCGTTCTCTATTGCCCTCCCTTCTGAGCCTACCTTCCATCTGTTTTGTATATATCTTAGATGTATGTTGTTATTTTCCTATTTATCTCCTCTATTAGAATTTCATATACTTAAGGGCAGGTATGTCTTTATGTCTCCAACACTTAACAAAATGTCTTTAAACAAGCAAATGCTTGTTTAATAAAATGCTTGTGAAATGATTGACACTTACTGGCTCTATAACCTTAGACAAATCACCTAATCTATCAGTACTCTAGGCAACTTTCTAGGATTATAAATTATTGTTATTCTTGTTGTTGTTGTACAGAGGCTAACCAACCTTTTTATAAGATGTTTCTTTATCCAAGAATTCCCTATATTAATGAAATCACAGGTCTAGTCCCTAGTCCTATCCTCTACTGATATTTTTTGTTTTATATTGCCTTCATTTCTGTGGGTATCCCTAACCCTTCCTCTATCCCAGAGAGTCATCCCTTGTATCAAAAGGAAATAAATAAATAAAAGTGAAAGAAAAAAAAACATTTCAGCAAAACTAACCACAAATCAACTGAATCTGACTGTAAATACAATGTTATCCTTGAATAGCCCCCATCTTCTGCAAAAAAAAAAAGGAAGAGAGCGCATTTTTCTCATGTCTTCTTTGGCCATAAACTTAGTCATTATAATTACATAATGTTTAATTTCACTTTTTCTTTGTATCACAAATATTATGAAGGGTAAAACAGAGAGGGAACTAGAAACTGAACTGAATTTTAAAACTGAATTTTAAAAGGAGCCACACCAATTAAATTCAGTAAGGCTATTTAACATGCCATTGGTAAATTCAACAAGGATGACAAAAAGCCAGATGTCTTCAAACATGTCATAATTGAACATGATGGCTACTGTTTGTTCCATTGCAATTATTGCTCTCTACAGAACAACACTCTTCCCAGAAAACTAGCTGTAAAAAAAAACACCTTTCCCCGACCCCTTGACTTCTACTATGAAGTCAAAGAAATGTTCATGTCAAAAGATGAAATTGTCTTAAAAATAAAGATACACCTAACTGAAAATATTTCATTTTAGCTAGGAAGGAGTGAAGATGGTAGCCAAACATCCATATGTATTCCATGTAATCTATTATTAAAAATATTAATGAACTTTGAACTACCGTGTTAGTTCTAAGACATTCTCTCACTCCCACACCATTTAACAAGACCATGAGATTTTCTCTCATATTTAACAGTATCCAGGTTCAGTACTTGAAGTTCCAAGAATTTAACTTCCTTTCTTTATTTTTTCCCTGGGTGTTTACCATGCCTAATAGAGCTAGGCTTCAATAATTCATTTTTGCCAGTTGGTGACACCATCTGTTGTACCATACTCTGCCTTCATGGTGTACTGATATCCTTTTTTATTTTGACTTTTTTGTTGTCTTCGGGTTGTTGTTTTTTTCATTTCAAACTGTGATTTCATCAAAGTGGGTAATTCTATGTGTGGAAACTCCTTCCACCAATGCAAATTAGTAATTCAACTTTAACTTATAGGCTAGGAGGTACCAAGAGTTGAAATGACTTGTCATCTTCAAACAACTAGAATATCAGACGTAGGACTCCAACTCAGCTCTTCTTCATTCCCGCTATCTACTATACCACACTTCTTTCAACTGACATGTGCTCCTGTTTTACCCATATTAGGGCATAGGAATTGGATCTGTTGTTTCATTGGTATAAAGACCTCCAGAATGAGGAAACTTCTTCCACCAGTGCAGTACAGTGACTTCTTGTTTTGGAGAGTTGCCTAGTACAGTTGGTTGGCTGATGTCCTTCGTTTTACAAGAGGCCCAAAATGATGTCATCATGTACGAGTCAAGTTGCAATGTGTACAAGTACGGCTGATTAGACCAATAGTCTAGTATACTGAGAGAGAGAAGGAAAGGAAGGAAACAAGTGTTTATTAAGCACTTACTATGAACCAAGCACTATGCTAAATACTTAACAAAAATACATCCCGGGATGTGGGAGTATTAAGAGGTTGGGTGACTTTCCTATGGTCACACAGCCACTATATGTCAGAGATAGGACTTATACCCAGGTGTTCCTGGTTCCAAGGCTAACTCTCTGCATCACCTCTAACCATGCTACCCCTCTGGGTATTAAAGACAAAATTCAAAGTGCCTATGCTCTTAAGGAATTTATATTCTATAATGGGATGCATGCATACCTGGGGTGGCAAGGGTTCTGGATTCTCTGGATACTAACCCCTATTATAAGTTTGACATCTTGGCAGATTCACTTATTTCCTGTGAAAGAAACCTTTACTGTTTATCTTCTGCAACTATTCCTCCTCCAGGTCAGCTGCTTCTAACAATCAAGTCCAGAACTGCAGCACAGAGATCCAGATTCAGCTGCTCAGCCCGTCCTGCTGCTGGTATCCCTCATCTCACTACCAGGGTGGTGAAGAGGATACAAGCAAGAATATACAATAAGTATTTTGAGCTCTTTAAGGGAAAAAAAGTATTCTATGTAAAAACAAAATAACACTGGTATTTGTTGCTGTTGTTCAGAATTTCAGTCGTTGTCCACCCCTTTGACCACATTTTGAGTGTTCTTGGTAAAGATACCAGAGTGGTTTGCCATTTCAGACTTACAAATGAAAATTAAAGTCATATCTTACCTAGCCTTGACATCCTCTGGCCTCCTTTTCTGGAAGTGAAACTAGGAAGCTCTTACCTGATGAACAGAGAGGTACATAAGTAGTGGCAAAAACACTGAACTGACTCTATTTCAAAGCCTACCACTTGTTCGATATGTGACTTTATCACTTCCCTCTACTGGGCCTTAGTTTTCTCACCTATAAAATGAGGAAATTGGACATACTCGCTTTGATTTGAGTTAGATCACCTGGGAATCAGATCTTAGTTTTGCCATGAGTTACCTGGGTGACCATACTGGGTGACTACAAGCTCTCTAGGTTTTACTTTTCTCTTTACTCTTCTGTAAAATGAAGACTAGATGAGCTCCAAGTTGTCTTTCCACTCTAAACTTATGATCCAGTGGCCCAATGAACCAGTGGCCTGGGATAGGCCACTTAAATTCTCTTAGCCTCAGTTTCCTCTTTTGGAAAATGAGTTGGATTAACTAGGTGATACAGTAGATAGAACATTGGGCTTGAAATCAGAAAGACTCATCAAATCAGGCCTCAGACACTTACTAGCTATGTGACCCTGGGCAAGTCACTTAACCCAGTTTGCCTCAGTTTCCTCATCTGTAAAATGGCAAACCCTTCCAGTATCTTTGCCAAGAAAAACACGAAATGGGGTCATGAAGAGTTAGACACAACTGAAAGCAATGAACAACAACAAAATTTTCTAACTCTAAAACCCAAGATCTGACAATGCTATGACTTCAGGTCTCCAAATCTCAGAGTTTGCTCTTGGTAATTCTGAGGCTCCAATGTTGAATTTTAGTGCTAACGTCCTGAATGAAATGAATACATTTGTAACACACTCCAGAACTTCTTACATGTATCTCAGTTTTGGCTGTTAGACTTTTTCCGGAGAAGAGAAAGGGAGACTTACTTTTGTTTTTTAAAGTGCTTTTATAACGTGTCTGAGTTTGTCTTTTAACAAACCAGATGTAAAGGGGGAGGATGTAATAATGAGGACAGGGAAAAATGAATCAAAGTGAATGGAGGAACATGTATAACCAGGTAAGGTCCCTTGTCATTTAGGTTTGGGAGGAGGGAAAAACTACATGGCTAACCATGTTTTCAGTAATTACAAAACCTTGACTTTATGTGCTATCGAGATGGGCTCCCTCTTAGTTTGTACAATGCCATATCCCTTCCTGGTACTACATACATCAGAACCGAAGCCATTGTCAGGCTTCACTGTGATTAGGGAACATTCAATTTCATTGAAATTACGGCCATCAGAAACAGTTGCTATATTATTATAGGAAAGTTGTTAGGAATAGGCCCTCAATAAAATTTACATAATTACAAGGCTGACATTTGCAAAGATATAATCCTAAAGATTGACTCAGAAACAATCAAGCATTTCCACAATGCCAGACTTTGAATCACTTTGCCTACTCTCATTTTAGAGAAGTAGAACTGATTACTCTGTGGTTTGCCGTCTATGGATAACAGAGTAACAGAGTGTCTGTTTCAAAACTCCTTTGGCAATGTATGTTTTTTCTTCTTAATTTGAATTATCTGGTCAGAGACTGATCAAACCACATCAGATGAAAGAACAGTAGGTCCCTGATCAACTCAGGAATAGTTCCTTAGTGAAGGATGCCCAACACTCTCCTAAGGAGTATTAGTGATATTATTATCTTCACAGATTTAGAACTCAAGACACATTGGGAGTCGTTTAGTTATAGACTCATATAAACATAGATTTAGAGCTAGAAGGAATCTCATAACCTGTCTATTCCAAATCCCTCATTTTACAAATGAGGAAACTGAAGAACGTAGAAATTAAGTGATTTACCCAAGGTCATAGAGTTTCCAAGCCTTTGATTTTGTCAATTATGAAACTGAGTCTCAGAGAAGGGTAGGTAACTTGCTCAGGGTCACTTGACAGAGTCAGGATTTGAACCCAGGTCCTCTGACTACGGATCTGGTGCTCTTTCCATTGTGCAAGTCTGCCTGCTATAGGGGCCAAGGTGGAATGTAACAGACTACTTTAATTAAGAATGGTAATGTTGGTTATGATAACCCTTTGTAGTTCAATATTTTTTGCTGGGAGTACACTGGAGAGGAATGTGTCTGCCTGAGCAAAATGTCAAAACCCCAGAACTCTGGGTACTGGGTACCTAATATATTCCAGGGTAATAGAGATAGTAAGGCAGCACCATATGTCCATTGCAAAATCTAGGCAGACATTTGGGAATAGAAATGTTTTTTTCTTTTAAAAGAGAAAAGGGAAAATGTTAATCCTCTCTGGTTGGGGAAAACCACCCACAGGGATTGTTGCTGTTATTGTTACTGCTGCTGCCACTCGTGATGCTTCTTTGTTCTCAAAGAAGATCAATGACATCATGAGGGCCACCTCTTGACTTGCTGGTGAATTGTATATGAGTGGAGCAAAGTTGCACAAAGTTGTCAGCCTTACCTGAAGAACAGCAACAACACACTGACTGCCATTGCTATAGCTAGGCAGCACAATGGATAGAGGCTGAACCTAAAGTCAGAAAGACCTGAGTTCAAATGTGGCCTCAGGTCCTAGCTGTGTGTCCTGGTCAAGTCACTGAACTTAAGCTGTCTGCCTCCATTTCCCTACCTCCCAGGGCTGATGTGAGGATTGAATGAGAATATTTATAAAGTGCTTAGCACAGTGCCAGGCACACAGTACTTAATAAATTCTTGTTTCCTTCCTTTTGCCTTTCTATCTTCCTTTCTTCCTACCTTCCTTTCTTCTTACCTTTCTTTCTTCTTCCCTTCCTCCATCCCTTCTTACCTTCCTTCCTTAACTTCTTGTCTTAACTTCTTTACTTCTTGTCTTCCTTTCTTCTTACCTTCCTTACTTCTTTCCTTCTTACCTTCCTTCTCATTTCTTTCCTTCCTTACTTCTTACCTTCTTTCCTTCCTTTTTACTTTCCTGCTTTCTTTCCTATGGGTACTACTGAGTGGAAGGAGAAAAGATGTACAAATTGCTTCAGCAGTCATGTGTGGAATCAGGGAATTATAGGAATAAATCTCTAAGGTGATGTGCCTACAGTTGTATTGTGAAGAGCTTTTAAGGGCTTTTGATGTTAATCTAGCTCAAAGCCCAGAGCTGGGTAGACATCCCCATAAAGTATTTAGGGACTAAATTAATAGACATAGGATAAATGACAAAAGGACATTCTAGAAGAGTGTAAACTCCTTGAGGGAAAGGACTTTGTCACTTTTCATCTTTGCATCTCTGGTACTTATTACAGTGTTTTGAACATACTAGATGTCTAACAAAATTTTCTTGAATCAATGAATGATTAACCAAGGTCAGTGCATATGATTAGATTGTGATAAATTTATGGGAAAGGAAAAATGAGAAAAGCATCAAGTTATACACTGACATTGTTTTCTTTGAGAAATTACTTCCATGTTAAAAGTTTATGTTCATTTGTTTTTTAATAAAAATTTCTATTTTGGTAGGAGGTCATAATTAAGACAATGCTACTCATCTGGTGTCAGTGCATTATAATCAAGGGTAAAGTGACAGAGCAGCTAGGTGGTGCAATGGATAGAGTGCCTATCTTGGAGCGAGGAAGATTTGTGAGTTCAACTCTGGCCTTAGACCCTTACTAGCTGGGTGACCCTGGGCAAGTCACTTGACCCTGTTTGCCTCAGTATCTTCATACATAAAATAGTTTAGAGAAGTAAATGGCAAATCACTCCAGTATCTTTGTCACAAAAACCCCAAATAAGAAGAGTCAGACATGACTGAAAAACAACAGCAAATTGATGACAATAATATCACAGATACACATGGCAAAAAACATGCTAAGACAAATTGTTTTTTTCTGTTAGTTTACCAAGTGGTTCTCATTAGCAATTTCTAATCCAGAATCATGGAAATATTTTGCATGATATCAAGTCTTGCCATCTTGGAATAATGTCAATGATGTGAGTCTCAATTTTTACTTTTATCATTAGTCATATCTATAAACTTGTACTAAGAAACCTAGTGCATCTATGAATAAATGTTCTACTCATCTGTATTGTGTCATAGATTCATAGGAGCTAGAGTTGGAAAGAACCTAAGACATCATTTAGGGTAACTCCAACATTTTAAGGATAAAGAATCTGAGATTCAAAGAGAAGTGTTTTGCCCCAGGTCACGTGAGTAGGAAGTGGCAAAGCTGGAATCCAAACCCAGGTCTTTTGGTTCCACACCCAGGATTCTTTCCTGGATTCTTCTATACCCAGCTTTCTCAAGAACCTCAGATAGTATTTTAAAATGCATAGGTTAAAAGTAAAATGAAAGGCCATAGCAAGTGCTCAATAAATCCATCTCGAGCAATTGATTTTTAAAGGAGCCTATGTTTCTATGTCTCATTTGTCTCTGCATACAACAGCTATTTTTAATTCCATTTATCAAGCTGCTATTTATATATCAATTTACAGTTTACAAAACACTTCACAAACATATAAACATTCATTTGACTTTATAGAAAGATTTGAATTTTATCAATAACAGCTCATGTTTATACAGAACTTTATGTTGAACAAAGCACTTCCATAAATGCCTCAAAGTACAAAGTACAAATATGGCTATTACCATTTTACAGAAGAGGTAATTGAGATCCAGAGAGTGAAGTGACCTACAAACTGTCACAAGCCAGTAAATGTCTTCTGACTCCAAGTTATTGTTCTTGTTTTTTGATTAAGGCCTGCTTTCTTATCTCTCCCAAAACATTAGGAAAATGGTCTATAAATCTATTTAGGGCTGCATGATTGAAGCATGAAAAGATAACTTTTTTTTACAGTGATCCATATCTTGATGATCATATCACTGAGAGATATAGAAAATATAAGATTCCCGTTATGTCTATTTTCTATTGATTTTTTAAAAAGCATTTGATTCAGTAGAACAAAATGCAGCCTTGGAGGTTCTTGAGACCAGATATTTCCCTTCTATATATTAAAATTACAAGAGATTCTACCATCAGAGCAGTTATGGTGATGACATTGCTCAGCAATGTGCTAAGCATTGACATTGATCAATGTGTAATGTGGGGAG